ATAAAAAAAAATCTTTCTAAATTGATAAAAGATTAATTCAAACAGTAATATCTAAAATATCTAAAATCAATGTAAGCCGATAAATTATGTATCTTATAATATTATTTAAGTATGATCTATTATTAATAGATAATAAATATAATCCTTTTTAATAAATAATTTAAATATATATAAAATATACATAATATAATCCATTGATTTCTTAAAAAACTTCTGATTATAAATTTACCATTAATCATTTGCTACGCTTTGATAAAGCTCGCGTACTGTTATTACAAAAGTGTACAAAACGGCACACGTGACTGGTAGTGCATGTTTGAATTTACAGAATTTCGAAAGTATAAGTAAATGCGGAAACAATAACAATTTGTTAAATTGCGTTCGTAAAAGAAGACCGATCCATTCTGCACGACGCAACTTGTGCAAACAAACGAAGTTAAGAATAGTGTATATTCGTTCTCGTAAAAAAATTTAATTACCTTGTCTAAAAGCGTATTATAAGAGTTTTGATGAATTATATCGGCGAAAGAACAGGTTAATCGTATAGTCGTGGCTAGTTTTCTGGAATTCGCTTCCCGTTAGCGCGGACGTTCGACGCAAAATAGCCTGGAATTTGATTCGCTTCGTGGTTTGTATTTTTTTTCCATCTTAATTTTTTTCTCATTCGCTTTTTCTCTCTTACGTAAAGAAGAATCAAGAGATATTATTCGCATAACAGAAAGATTTGTAAACCACAAAGACATTCAGAGACCTGTGTTTAAACTGATCACACGATTTATGTTAAAATTAGAAACAAAATTCATGGGTCAGATTGCATCATCATTAATTTAACAATCTGAAACATCAGATATAATTACGTGAGTTTGTATGAATGTATGTGTCATGAATCCTTGGCTGGAAAAATCGAGAAAATACGGAGGACGTTCATCGTCTTCGCTTTGACACTGACTACTTCACACTTAGAGAAACATGCGATAAATCGAGATAAATCAACGGAAAAAAGAAATTAGATTTCAATTTTTATTTTTTTTTATTTATTTTTTTTAACTTTTTCCATTTTTCATATTTTTATTCATGGAAGATGAAATTCATACTAACATGATTTCATTTTGTTACAGGCGGAGCACAGGTTGGAGCAGTTGAAGAAGGCAACAGACAGAATACAAAAGGAGATCGAAGAGGTCACAGAGAGAGAGCACGAGCTCAGAAACGTGGGTAGCATTAAAACCACGTCCCACGAGACGGTGGATTCCAAGGTACGTTTAAAACTTCATGTATATATATATATATATATGTATACATTCATGTTGACCGTGTTCAAGGTCGTTGAACGAAAGAAAGAAAGAGTAAATGGATATAGTCCTTATAAGAACAAAATGCATCGTATGACTTATGACTGTTCATAAGAAACAAGGGTAATTAAACATGCAGTCACAGATTTAATGATTCACGATGCATTGTATCAATCTTATTACATACGTGATGAGAATCAATGAAAAATAAAATTTGATACTATAAATTGAAAGAGAATTAAAATTTCATTAAAAATTTTCATGTATTATATATGTATATTAAAAAAAAATAATACATATGTATACATATAAAATCTTAAATAAAAAAATTTAAAATAAAAAAATTAATTTGATGTCATATATATTTAAAAATATCATTAAGTAAGTTAAAATACGTATCATTTTCTTTATCAGAAGTTTCAAGAAGTTTTAATGATTCATCCAATAAAAAACAGATTAGTCTTTTTTTATTATTTTTTTTTAATAAAAATAAGTGATAAAAATTTATTATTATTCATCAATTAAATTATATTTTATAGCATAAATTATTATTTTATAGCAATTTTTTTCAAAATATTCTCCGCACAGAATAGATTCAGTGAATTATAAAAACAGTATGCAGAATGTAATGAATATCATAGATTCACATTATAATAAATTTTTTTCATTAAATTAGTGATATTTTAATAATATAAATAAAAACGCAAACATGATTGCGGTTTTATATATTTTACGTTAATTAATAAAGTGTTTGAAGTAATTGCTATAGAATACAATAGTTTGCACATTTATTTCGCAAAGCCGGTTGCATTTAATTTTTACAATACAATCAGAATTTCAATGAAAATATTTTATTTAATATATATATAATATATATTATCTGATATATATTAAATGTAATGCCGTTTACCATGAAATAGTTTTTTTAACTTGTAACGTAATTATTGTGTTGCGCTGATAATAGTTAAAATATGCTCTCGTATAATTGATAGCTGCAAATAGATAGCGTATGCGTTACAAAGGTCATTTCGATCTTTTTATATTCAGGTAAATAGTTTTATTTTTTAAAAATATTTTACACAAGAGAGCTCATTTGGACTTCACTTGTTCAGGTTCTCTTGTAATCAAGTGAAGAAATGTATTATTTGCTATTTTTAATTATACTTATTTTAATTGTAGCAATTTTAATTACAACAATTTATGTAATAACAAAAGGAATATATGTAATATATAATATATATTTAATATATATAATTAAATCAACAAAAATTTTGTTTATTAGGTACGACGTATGCCACAGGCTTTGGTTTCGGGAAAATTGAAGAGAACAACATCTACTCCACAAATTCTAGAAGCTATCAGCTTAACACCATCTACACCACCCTTAACGCCAAAGATGACGAATGGAGTGATATCTAGTCGCACCACTCCAACACCTTTGCGTTTCGCAACAGCACCTAGTCAAAAAGGGCTGATGCATAGGTTTCTGGCAACTCGTGGAAAAATTTATAAACCAAAATCTATAGATAATGATACGTTAACACCACCTTCATCACCCAGTATCACACTTAATCCATTGAGTATCAAGGCTTTTAATAGGAATTTGGAAATTCAACTTGAACCAGATAATGAACCTAAAAAACCTCCTATTAGAAAAGGATATGTGCCTGTAGAAGAAAAAATTCAAAAGGAATTACATGAAATGAAAGAACGGGAAAATGAGCTTAGGTAACTTTATGTTTTTACAGTTAAATGATAGTGTATGAATATTTATAATTTGTTATATTTAAATTTTAATATTATTTATATTAATATAATCTATAATATAATATTATTTTCAATAATATATTTTTATTGGATTGAATATATCATTGAGATATTATATTAATATAACTAAGTTATATTTTTCTTATTTCACAAAATAATAATAATATAATTATATGGATTTTTAGATTAATGCGATCACAGATGTTAGCTAAATCTCAACCAAATCTTTTGGACATTGGAAATGATAACGATTCCGATATTTATGATGGCTCAAATTCATTAAGAAGCGGTACCTCAACAAATACTTTAAATGAAGATGAAATAGAAAAAGAAACTAAAGGAAAACACAAGGTACTAATAAAACTAATACATATGTTTTTAATATTAATATTTATATAATTTGTTTATTTATCGATCGTTAATTATCTGTCTTATTAAATAGTAAATTGGAAATGTTATGTATCCATATTTTCGATCAATGATGAATCAATGATAATTATTTAATTGTATTAAATAGCCTAATCCACGACGTCGAAGCACTCTCATCGCGCAATGGGAAAATTTGATAGCTGCAAAAAAGGAATCTAATGACAATAACAACGAGAATGATTTAAATTTCTGAAAAACTGGATTATTTTGTAAAAAATAAATTATCAATGTTATATCATTTTTATATCATTTTTTAAAAATATTTCAAAATGGTATCAAAGTTTTATAAAATTTTTGAAACATATTTCATACTAATACATATTACTGGATTTATTCACTTATCAAATTTTTAAATTAATTTATTTAATGTTAAGATAGATATTTATTCAAAACTGGTTTACCTGAATAAACATATATTATATTTAATATTTTTTTTTAAATGCTTTCAGTATTAAAAAAATTAGTTACAATGAAAAAAATTATCTTTTTTTTGTAGGGAATAAAAAATATTGCTAAGTATTACAAGCATATATATTTAATATATCTGCTGATTAATTGTAATATATCTGTTATATAATCACACAAAAATGACTGAATCCATAATTCTAAAAATTTTCTTTAAAATATGATATATAATATATATTAATAATCTCATAAACAAGGATTTTGTTATATACTTAATTAATTGTAAAGAATAATTATGTGTATTCAATTTATTATATGTTGCATATGTGATAGTATAGTTCTAATAATAATAATAATAAATAGTTTATGCAATTATGTGCATTATGTGGTTAATAAGATATATATTTTAAAATTTTCTTTTATTTTTTTGATTTTAAATAATAAAGTATTGACAATAAAGTATTTAAAATGTATTAAAAATATTTGTTTTACATGAAAATAAAATATATAATAAATAGAATATAATAAAAAGAAACATATTTTTTTTATATAAACATATCAAATTCTAACTACAGAAACTGTTTCATAAATATTAAAATTTTAAATATATAGAAATATAAACAATTAATAACAAATATATTAATGTAATTTTCATATTAATAAATAAATAAATATATTATCATATATATAATCTAATCTATTTATAAAACATACAGGGTTTTCAGATACAATAATAAATAAAATTTAAGAAATAAAAATTAAAACAAATACAAATAAACCTCAATTAACATTTTTGTATATCGTATACATTTCAATTTGTTATCAATATTGTTATCAATAATTATCAATTGATTATATATCAATATACATTTTTGTATATCAACTTTCGTATTTATTTTTCTTAGAATGAATCCTTAAATTTATTAACTTTATATAAATGCTTTGTAATATAAAATAAGGTTAAATTTTATCCTCCATGTTAGGAATTCTATACAATTCATATATCGAAGCAATCGAAGAAAGTATTCTCCTTGTTCTTTCATTTTAATCTTGTATTATTCATATATATATATTTTTCCACGTGTTTTTAAGTGATATATTATAGCAATGAATGTTCCAGATGTAAATAAAATAATAAATAAAGAAACTGAAATTTTATTATTAATCAATTTCGTAAAAAATGATGGTAATTGAATAATTTTAGAATATATTTACATATTGAATTAGGTTATATTCTATTATTTATATATTTTAACTTAATTAAATATTGTTTTAATTTTATTTATTTCAGTTTGTGATTTACCTATTTGTGTACAAAATATATTAAATGGAAAATATGAAGATATAATAAATAATAAATTATTTTTAAATTTAATTCAAGAATGCAGCAATTATGACGAGATAATACATAAAAATATAGAAAAAACAAATTTATATGATTTTTGGCTTTGCACTGGCATAGCTTCTTTATTATATTTTATTCAATGCAACTGGACAGGTCCACAAGTTGAAAAAAACATTGAATGGCAAAATATTAAAAATAAAAATATATTTAAAGATTTATCTTTATATGACGAATGCAATGCAAATGTTAAAATGTTAGATCTTCTTTATCTTTCAAAGATAATATTTTCTAATGAAATCTTACAAAATATTTATAAAAGTTGTATATGGTGGTTATTTAGAGCAAATTTTCTAAATCAACTAATATTAAATGAAAGTTCTGGTATGATATTTGATGAAACTGAACAATTAATTGATAAAATTAATAATTTGCAACTATTGCAAGAAAATATTCATTGTGAAACATTATTTTATATTGAAGCTGCACAATTTTATTTTTATTATAGAAGAATTCATAATTCAGAAAAATATATTAAACTTGCTCAGGAAAAAGCAAAATTAAGTTTAGATTTGGAAGGTGCATTGGGAAAACGTACAAAATATCAGAAAGAAAAGGCACAATTGTTTTTAAGAATAAATTTGGAAAAAAAACAATTTTCTTTTAGATGTTGTGAAAATTTACCAAAATCATTGGATTTAAATGATGAAATTAGATTAGAACATATTGAATATTCAGAAAATATAGCAAATACGCAAATAGGAGCTGTAGAAGAAACTATAATATTAGCAAAATAGTAAGAATATATTTTATATTTGTTGAATATGTTTATTATATCATAAGAAAAAAATTGTTTTATTATAATTTTTATTTTTATTAGTATTCAGTTGCAATTATCACAACCAAAAGATAAATTAACAGATGAAGAAATAAAACCTTATTTAACTGTAAGTATTATTATTTTATCATATCAATTATTCAATTCAGTATTGAAGGAAATTCTTCAATAATTTGTCAATAGGTTGTGATAAATAATACAAGAAATTGGTCTTTAAAAATGGCATCTCTTTATAATCGATGTTCTTTGGAATCTGGAGATAAACGAACTGTTGAACGGTCAATGATGCAAATGGAATATTTAATACATGAATTAAATAAAACAGAAGTTTCTGTTGCAAATAGAATGGACTTATTTTTTGCTAGTGGTCTTAAACCAATTTGGGTTTTAGAACAAATGTATGCACAATTGATGTTAAGTCTTGGATTAGTAAAAGGAGCTTTAGATGTTTTCTTGAAACTTAAACTTTGGGAAGAAGTT